CAGCGCGTGTTCGTTCCCCACTGCATACACCTGTGGTCCGGAGTTTTGCAAATATCTTAGCATCATTGAAGTTATCCTCGTCGTTGTTGCGCACCCCAGTTGTCACTAAGGTTTTTCTTAGACAACAGATATTAAAGTGTATCTTACTTTTGTTCGAAACAGTGGGAAAATTTCATGGAACTCGTAACCGGTTACCCTTATTGTCCCCTAGCTGGAGTAAAGACACATTATTTATCTAAACTCGTCTTATGTTTTTGACTTCTTGTCGAATTTCTTAGGGTTTCTGATTTTCTGTCGACGTAGTTCGGGACATGGGCTTCCGTCGCACGTGCTACATTTGATAATGGAAGTACGATAAATCAATGTTCTCGCGAATACCAAGCGAGAAAGAACCCCAAAGTCGATTAGAGATGTGTGAGCTCCGTATTGCTTGTCTTCATCACTATATCCTGCCCAACTTTGGAGTTAAGTCCTTCATCATTCGATCCAGAAAAATCTAGTAAACAACTAAGGCGCTATCTATCGAATGGAGTTTTCTCAAGTGTGACGCTAAATAATTTCCGAGAAGCGCCATTGTCTTGTCAGACTTCTCTTTTCATTATCAGCATCTGCGCTCACAATATTCCAATAAGTCTGCTGATTATGTGGACCCGATTTATCGCGCTCGACCCTTTCAGAAACTCAGGTTGCTCATATGGCCATCCGATCTTGTGTCAGCCCTGTTGAAGATGACTCGAGAAGAGAGTAGGAAGCATAACACAAATAACGCTTTGGTTACTGTTATCGTTGTCGTTGTAGTGTAGGTTTCTTCTGCCACAACAACATAGTGCTAATGGTTTCTTCTGAAGGGCTCTCCTTTGCTATCTTTCGTTCCATTGTTCTTATCATATCCCGAATCTCAGCATATTTGTTGGAAAAAAGCAACCTTATACTCTTGTCTTCGTAGTACAAATTGCAGTAGTAATCATCGAGAACGAAACTGCAGGTGAAAGCGGTTTCAGGGTCACCAAATATAAGTGGCCTTCGTCGTGCTAAATCCCATCTACTCTGTGGAGTCGCAAAATCCTACTGCAGTTCCGAAACTTGCCTAAATTTTTTCTCAACCGTAGAACCTGATTCTGTTCGAGTCAAAAATAATGTTGACAAAGGAACTAATGCCCAAACTACTACACCGTCGCATACTTCAACGAAGAACTATCCGGAATCGTAAATGTCTTTCAATGGTGCTTTTATGCCATTTTGATGAATGGAAGCTCTCAACGCTTCCGTGCTGCTTGTGTTTACACAGGTTATCATCATAGATTCTCCAAATTTTGACACCCGAAGCGATAATGAGATTCTGGCGGCCTTTTGCATACTTACCCTTTCCGTTGCATTTCTTGATTAATAGAATGACGTCTATTTCTACTGTTTTCTGTGAGTGGGAAGCTTTATCACTCTCTTCTAGAGGATATAAAAGGATATTTTCTGTCTAAGTGTCAGAAGTTATATTATAACACAATATTTCTAGATGTCTCCATTTTGTCGATTGCAGGTCTTTGGTGTGAGGGATGTCTAGGATATAACCTGCACCATTTTGGTTCATGTTTAATCCTAGTGCGATGTGAACATCTGTAAACGCGCTTCAACGGTGCTGAGATATTTCCAACTCCGGACTGCAGGTGTCTGCGATGGGGAACGAACGCGATATTACCTTTTTCGGAGGCTAATTCGTTCACCGCCACACCATGCGGGTCCTTTGTTTCGTCTTTCTCCCAGTTAGTTCGCCAGTGCCATCAGCAATTACCTGTCCACGGGATTGATTTCGGAAGCCCAAATCGGTAATGAACTTAATGGCAAGGTATGTTGCGGAAAATCTGCCCAGATCAGTCCCATTGAAGGGTGACTGTTGATGGCACTGATCGATAAAACTAGCTGAGAGACAGGCGAAACGAGGGACTCGCGTGGTGTGGTGGTGAACGCGTTAGCCCTGGAAAAGGTATTTGATATGATATCCTTGATATGCTCGACAGGATAACCTATGTGAAGAGCTTCTAAAGAACACTCAGCATTTAAAAGACCGACTTTCTATAAACCTCGGCACAGATAGTTGGTATATTTATTTATATTACCTTATAAACTGATCTTCTTCAGCTGATGCGAGGTTGATATAGGTCTTCGTTGCCGTTGTCGTTATTGTTGGTGCTGTTGGTCGATGGCTGACGTTTCGGCGACTTGGCCTTCCTCAGAGCCTGGACGTATTTTACGTTAGAATACTTTAATTATCCGGTGGAAAAAAGACTAAAGTATTAATGAAGATCGAACTTTTAAATAGGGGCCATATTTAACAGAAAGGCTACTCACCGTGGCGTTACGAGTGGGACTGGCCCACGCGTTGTTCACGTGGGATCGCGAGCGAGGCATACCCAGGGGCCAAATATCATTTTGAAATAGGGCGCCAGGTTACGTGTCATAGTGAAGCATTCGTCTTTGGATTTTTGAAATTTATCCAAAATGCCTCAAGAGTTTTGCGCGTTGATGTTTTCGATTCCTGCGCTAGGGTCCGCACGGTCACCTCAATATCATTGCCATTGTGCTTTGTCCCTATGCGTATCTAGAAGAGCGTTTCGAAGACTTGCTTCGAAGACTTTCATTTGGATGTTCTTTTATTCGCTCGCGACCCCACGTGAACAACGTATGGGCCAGTCCCACTCGTAACGTGACGGTGAGTAGCCTTTCTGTTAAATATGGCCCCTATTTAAAAGTTCGATCTTCATTAATACTTTAGTCCTTTCTCCACCGGATAATTAAAGTATTCTAATGTAAAATACGTCCAGGCTCTGAGAAAGGCGAAATCGCCGAAGCTTCAGCCATCGACCAACACCACCAACAACAACGACAACGACAACGAAGACCTATACTGACCTCGCATCATCTAAAGAAGAACAGTTTATAAGATCATATAAATGAATATACAACAATTATTTATGCCGGGGTTTATGGAATGTCGGTCTTTTGAGTTATTAGTACGTTTTTGTTTTAAGAAGCGTTCATAATGTTCTCAGTCAATGTTTCACCAGTTTCACCATTCAGTGGGATGATATTGAGAAAGCAAACCTCGAAAGAAAATTGAAAAGTGGCACATCCTGATTTAGGTAGAGGCGGACCATGTCTCTAATGAAATCGGACTACCTATGACCTTTGCTTTTGTGCCTGTCAGTGCCGACAGAAACTTTTTCAAAGTCAGTGTCAGATTCTTGTTCCACCTTTCAATCACTTTGACTTTTGATTTAGTAGCTCGGCTTCTTAGGGAGATGTTTTCGATCGCATACGGACACGAAGTTTTAAGAAAGACGTGGCAGCGATTTTCGGCACTGTAAAAGACGAAGGTACCTATTGGCTACCCTACTACATGAGCCGATATGGTTTCTGCTTCAATCACACCATATCGGCCGAAGATCCGCAAAACAGGGCATTAATAACCAGGTTTGCCTTCTTTCTAAAGAGAAGATGATGTAGTTATAATACATTGATATAGGGAGCAGTATCGCCAGTCAATGAAGGCGTTCATGCCGTATTTCGGAGGCTCTGCACTTGTTGAACATGCCTTGCTCCATGCCTATCAATCTGTGTCGACTGGTTTCTCACCACAGTGAGTCGTAATTCTAGGTAACCAGGAATTCTTCCCATTCGTGGTTATTTATGGCCATTTGGACGTTTTTCTCTTATAAAGTCAACCACATGAAAAAAGCTGCCATGCACTTCACATCACTAAACATCGTAGGCGTTGACCTATAGAATGACTTTCTAGCATCGATGAATTAAGATATTATTCTTATTCTCCTAGAGAAATGTCGTACCGATTTGCCGACCTTGTAGGAACGAACGGTTTGGTTTGCCTAGGACATGAGTTGGAACCAACGATGACCATGTGCATCGCAGTACACATTTAACCACAATAGTAATATGTACCTCTTTATCAGTTTAATTTTTATTTGGGCGATTCATCCCTTTGGCAGAGTCTCCTAAGCTGAGATGGAGTCCGGCGTTTGCATCAGGAAACCTAGCTAGGAGTAAACTGATACCAGGATCCACCACCGTCCTGGTACCAAATTAGTCGCGTTGTGGCAAATCTCCCTCTTATCCAAAAAGCCTGCGACTGCCTGTGGTGGTGACGACCTGGGGCAGACTTTGGCCAGTCTTTCCTCAGAACTTCTGGGAACCATAATGGCTAAACCAGCAAAACTCTGAAAAAACGGAAATTGTTCTGTGGTCTCCACAACCAGTGAAAACAGACCATCCAACTATCCAAGTAAGTAAGTATGTAATCAAGTAAGAGAGCGAATAACGCAGTGGCAGTTCACCACGAGCTCGATGCTGGTTCAACATTCGCACTAGCTTTAATCCTCCAATCTCTCTGGAGCCAGGAAATTGCTCCCAGACTTGTCTGGAATCAGTATGCTCCCTCGAATCCGTGTGGGTCCACGCTAGCACTGCTTTTGCAGAGTGGTAGGGAGAATAGGCTCGGCTAGAATTCATCGACATTCATAAAAAGACGAAAATCCTCAAACAACAGGGCAATCCACACTGAAATGTTGGAGACCTTCGTGAATGATGGGTGAGAAGAAGCGAATGGAACGCAAAAAATGTTGGGATCTCGACAGTAGACTTGAAGAAGAGTCATATAAAAAAGAAACGAATAGCTTTGAAATACTTTATTTTAAAAATTGTCCAGTTAAAATTTTGAATTTGTTCTCAATATCTATTTGTTGTCATAGAAAATATCAAATTTGGTTGGTTACTTTTTTAACCAGTATGGCCTGTTGCGGTTTCGTACAGCACAGTGCCAACACCGTTCGTTTTGTATTTCAAGAAGTTTCATGGAGTATGAAGATGTAAGCCGATGCTTTACTGGTTTTCCAACCGGGTTTATGCTTTCTGTAGTGGAACTACAATTTGCTCTCAGTGTAGCACGTGAAAAGGTTGATGTTTCTGCTCTCCCAGGGAAAACCTACGTGATGGTGTTGGACGTTTCCTCGGCGACTATTTCTTCACCTGTAGCCTCATTGAATTCGCTGATATAATAGCAGATAATGTTTACGGTCCCGTATATATGTATTATTTCACTATGAGGTCAGTTCTTTTTCCGTCGTTAGCCCATATTGTCGCGATCGACCACTTGAGTAATCGAAGGTCAACGGCAAACCCGTGGCCAAAATGGATGGGTGTAATGCACGGTTATGAGATTGAGTATGCGTTCGGACAACCGCTTTCCAGGCCGTCCCTTTACGAGAAGGTAGGATGATCAGGTAAATTTGTACGTGTAGTAATGAAATTCTTTTCAGAATTACCTCAGAACCGAGCAGCGCTTTTCTGAGTTCATCATGAAATTATGGATAGATTTTGCAAATACTGGGTGTGTGCAAGTGATATCTTATATCTGTCTAAAATGGGAAAGCTGTCAAAAATTACCTTCGTCATGTTTATTGCAGAACTCCAGCAACATACTGGCCAAAATATAACCGAATCGATCGACAAGCTCTGGAGCTCGGCGAGGAGTCAACGAGAGGAGACCATCGAATCATGGTGGATGTTCATGGGTCGTACTGTAGACTGATCGACGAGGCAAAAACTGTAGCCGGCCAAGGTACTACTCATAGTCGAGGAGGTTACTATACGAGTACTTGTCGTTGTTGATGTTCATCACCGAAGTAGCTGTGTAGGATTTGTGTCCCTTTGAAGCACAAGCGTTTTTATTAGAGTGGGGATGGCAGTCAAAAGAAACGCTCCGTTATGCGGAATCCAGGTGGCGCGTTTTAGAACAGAATAAACACACCTGTATTAAAAGGTATTGTTACTCCTTATGTCAAAGAACATTTTAGTGAAATGTAGTTGAATTTTTTCCTAGAACATGTTCAGTATTCTACAAGGTTATCCACATAATTATTCGACCACCTCAAGCTCATCGACGACCAGTCAGCTCTTTAGTTAACTACCACACGATCCGCTTCATCTTTAGCGCGTTTCGGAGAAGTTTTTTGCAGTTTTTTAAAAAATTTTGTACATTATTTGGAGTATTGGTATGTTGCACACGCAAGAAATCTGAAGAATGAAATTTCGCTCTGCCGCTCTCAAGGGTCTTTATAAATTTTCTGGGGTTCTATATATCTTACTTTATAAAACTGCTTCTTTTTGAACAAAATCGACATCGCTACGCGACTACTCATTTCATGAATCTATGAGGAGTTGTTTTGTTACATGGTAGTGGACCCACCTAAAGCGGAAAACAACATGGGTATATGACGAGAAGTATCTTGCTAAACTGCTATTCTTCTCTTTTTACTTTTTTCTCTCAATAGAATACTTTTCACCTTTCCTTATCATCGACGAGAGCTATGGAAATCTAAGGAAATGTAAGGGATTTACTTTTAATCAGGAGATTCGTTTACCCAACTTTGAGGGACACATTGTGTAGTGAACAACACGCCTCGACTGGCAGTCTCTCAGTTCACCGTTCCATTCGCCTTTTGTTCAACAAAGATTGCTTTAAGTGACAGTAGTTTTCCCACAAAACTAAATCCCGCTGATCCATTGTTGTTGCTGAGGTGCTGTTCTTCACTTATGGTGAGCAGAAGAATCGTGAACTACCAATACGAAGCATAAAAATGTGATTGTATCCGGTATAACTTATCTCACATCCAACCTTACTATTGGTAACATTGCTAAAGTTCAGAAGCGGACAGAGATGGAAAACGATGAGGCGAGGGAGACATTGGGATCCTGTTTACCGTTTGTGCCAGCACACAAGGAGGTGAAGTTGCATTGCTTATGGACGCAAGAAACCAAACAGTTTCCTTCCTATAAAACAGATTCTCTTGTGCCAGGAAAAAGTAAGTTTTTATCACCGGGAAATCACTGCTATCAACAGCCATCATCCTGTGTAAAAGAGCATCGCTGGGTAAGATTACCTTATTCGAGAGATGCTCCACTAAGGAAGATTCGGACTCGATACGAAGACGAAGACACCACATCGCCAAGAGGAACGACTGTAGACCATTGACTTGGATCATCATCTCTGATGGAGACGAAGATGTCGAAGCGTTATCCGAATAAAGATTGTTTATCACCTTCGTGTAAGGTTATCAGAGAAAGAATGTGTGTTTTTTCTTATGCGTTCATTTCAGGATGACGAGCGTGGACCAAATTTGTCTGTTGTTCCTATTGTTCTGTCTCCTCTCTTAGATGATGTTTCCAATGAGTGGAAGTTGAACAGCTACCATTTGAGGAAAATTAGAAGTGGTTATTTCAAGAGTGAAATATGGATCAAGGGATCGGGAATCTCAGTGGTTAGAGATATAGTGCACACAGTGTCACAGGTTCAACAATGGTCAAAACCGCTGAAAACTCCTATCATCCACCACGGTGATCGCCCATTTCGTAAGAGAATTGTTTGCAAGAAACTCCATCCGATCCTCAAATGCCGAAAACGTCTTCAAGGTGACACCTTGGAAACGTTCTAATACAGCTACAATAGGATTCCAAAATGAATCGGCTCAACCAGTTGATGATGAGAGCGAAGTGCTCAAGTGACACATGAGCTAACGCAGACATCGGAAAAATTTCGTGGATGACATGTATGAAGTAGCGAACCTAATGAAAGATATCCTGGAATACGCACATATACGATGTTGGAGAGCATATATATAAAAAGATGTTCATTGTCTATTTAATAGTTGGACCTTGTACGCTTCACTTACACAGAACAGTTTGCAAGAAGACGAATTTGTTCTAAAGTTATCAGGATGTGAAAATATTTTGGAAGTCAGTAGAGGAGAACGCATCCGATCTTACTGATAAATTTGTCCGGAAAGCCTACACCAAATTAAGCCAATCCACAACGTTGATCCGGCATTGATCTATCCCAAGGATTCCACCATGTATTCTGGTTGAATGCATATTTGCCACAATCATTTCAACGGGCATTAAGCAGCAGTTGTTATATACAGTGGTGCTTGTGAACCTTTTTGAGCTATTTGATTTACTACCATTCGGGTATTTACAAAGGGCGCGTATGGTGCAGCGGTCGGAGGCGCCCTTCAACACGCGTGGAATCGATCTCCGCGCCCATGACCCACCAAGCCTTCCATCCCTATGAGATCGGCAAATTGGTACCAGACTGGTCTAGGAGGATAGCAGCACTGGCTCGATATATCGGTAGGCCACCGTGAGTCATTGTAAAGGCCAGATATGCATTGCATTCAATCACCTCCAATCGATGCTTAATGAAGTCGAATGCATAGCGCATTCTTCAGCAATTGATCGACACCGGGAGCTTTGTACTTTTTTATCCAGGTATTTACTGTGATCATGTGTCGATTTTTTCTGCATTCTTTTCTATGTTTGCTTTCGTTGTTTTGTTTTAAAGAGAAATTCGTCGTTGCCAATTTGATCCTTGCTCATCTCAGTATTCAGCTGACTCGTGGATCTTCCCTATTGACTTTCAAGTAATTGCAGCAATTTAATCCCGCTTAACCGTCTTAGTTTCTTAAGAATTAAACCTATTGATTGAACTCAGAAATCATTTGCTTTCGATGGATCGACCTTTCTTGTTTTCTTTTGACTGTGAAGCTTCACTGGAGTAAAAGATCGGCAAATGTGATCTCACAGAGGAAGAAAAATCATCAAGTTGTGCGCAACATAAGCACGAGTGCAATAAATTTGAGTGAAGAAGTTATTTCTGAACAGAAAAAAAGTGCTGTGGACCTAAATGATGTTGTTTTTTTTCACGATCGTAGATAACTTTGGATAGCAGTTTAACCCTTCGCTCAGCTATTTTAGCACCGTTATTCGAGCACTGTTGATGAGTTGTGAAATTGTGTTGTCGAAAGTCCAGAGGAAAACCAAAAACCAATCTCTCACGTCATTTCATGAACGTGGTAGACATAGTAACTACACTCGAAGGGCTCACATCCCACTCAGTTTTCCCACTAAGCACAAATATCTATGTTTCCTAATAAAAATTTTTTGTCATGGCTTTCTGCAGGGAGCGTGTGCGGAATGATTTCAGTGTCGGAGTGCCGGACGCGTCGTACGCAGTCAGAGCCGGCGGCTCGAGGGCTCAGCGCCGCCGGCTCGGCGCCCGTGAGCGCCTTCTTGTGCGTCGTCCTGCTCGGGACCCTCCGAGCGCTGGTGCCCGTCGAACAGCTGCCACAGATGTGTTGAGCCGTCAGACCTTCCAGACCTTCATTGTTGTCTTCTATGAGTGCCTTGTTTCTTTAATTTTTCACATCTCGTATCATTTCACTTCATGTAGGCTGTACAAACTTAAAATCTCTACAAATATCCTAGCCGGACACTTTCACTTCTATCGTATTCTCTTTTGGGTCTAGTGATCAATAATGATAAAGTTTTCATGTTGTTATACATGAATTGTTTAAAAAATGCGATCATCTAGGTCGTTTCAGTTGTTAGTGTGGTCTCTGTGGCGGAAAGCTTGATATGTTGGCTATAGATTCATTCAGATAAATTTTTTCATTGAAGAATAGTTTACATTTACACTGTATATCTGAGTAAATTGTGTTGTTCCTTCGAGAAAGACTGCTACTGGTACTACTGGCGTTCAGCCTTTGAATAGGGCAGTCCAAACGTTGTTGTGCCCGACTAGATTTTTAGACAACTGACACTGTTAGAAGTAAATTCGCCAAAAATACGGTAATACAGTAAGTAGGCTTAAGATGCAATTAATACATACGCTATGAAGAAAGTTTAATAGGTAGTGCATGTGGCGCAGTTGTTGGAGGCGCCCCACAACACACATGTGGGATCAATCCTTGCGCCCATGGCCCACCAAACCTTCCATCTCTCCGGGGTGGGAAATTTGGTACCAGACTTGTCTGGTAGGATAGCAGCACTGGCTCTACACATCGGTAGGCCACCTCGAACCATTGTAAAGGCTTGATATTCATTCAATCACCTCCAAACGACGCTTAATGAAGTCGAATGTATGGCGCATCCCTCAGGGATTGATCAACGCCGAGATGTTTTTTTATGAAGAAAATTAACTGTAGTAATTATTGAAGAATTGCTTACCCGTAGAGTTAAAGGAACTTGTGATTTTTAATGAGGTGGAAACGTCGAAGTTTCCTTGACAATACCAGAATTCGGTCAACAAATACACTATTAGAAAAACTGGATGAAAAACTATAATGTTTCAGTTGCCATATTTTATGCCAAAAGAAAGTGATGATGATAGGATCTAAGAGTGAGATAGAGTAGGCACCGTACGAGCCGTGGAGAAAAGATGATCATAGATTTAGCCTCTGGTCGCCGTTTCTACTATGGTCAACCCTAAGCTGTTATGCATTTCCAGTTACGGACCATCAATTCGGCTCTGTTAGCATTCTGTCATCAACAAATGTCGCCGTACTACTGCACTTTTCGATTCAGATAAAGCCAGCCCGATGAGATACGGTATAGTGCGCGTTGAGAAACATCGAAATAGTGGTGATATCGGTGTTGCTTTTTTCTACCTATCGGGAGCGCGTGTGACGCAGCGGTCGGAGGCGCGTTGCAACACACATGTGGGATCGGTCCCCACGCCTATGGCCCAGCAAGGCTTCCATCCCTCCGGGCTCGGCAAATTGGTACCAAAGTTGTCTGGGAGGATAG